AACAGTTCCATGTCCTTCTTATGTTGACTTCACCTGACATGTTTACATCTCATTTATTTTTCTAGTACTGTCCCACATTTGCCATCCCTCGATTTATTCTTGACCTCTTTTACAAATTGCCAGATATAATTAATCTAATGGATCTTTCTGCTTTAATCAATTACCATCTATTTTTTTCCAATCTGACTACCACAATGTTATTTACTATTGGCACCTCTCTGCTCATAAGGTCCAAGACTACTATACTTCTTTTTGGGCTTGCACTTCTTCCAATTTAGTGGCAACTAAACACTTAATTCAGAAGAAATTCTTCTCAAAAATGATGGAAAAACCCCACTGAAGGCCACCAGTTAGATATTTGTGAGATCTGATGTTTCTTTTGGATTACAAGTTACTAAGTCATGTGGGTTTTCTTGTGTGTGAATAAAGCACATGAGTCAATTAGACTGAACTGTTCAGCATTTGATCTCAAATGTAAAAATGAAACACTGAATTGGATTCAAGTTGTGAAATGGTATGTAATTTAGAGGAAAGAAGCAGCGTGTTAAATCTGCAACAAATCTGTAAAGAATTTAGAATTTAAATTATTGACAACAAGCAAGGGACAATATATCTGATTTACTGTTCCTTGGATAATTAACAGAGATAAAGAACTGCAATGAAAATTGGAGGTTTTAATTGTTACTTGGTTTGGCAAGAGGGTGGGATATTCAAAAGAGTATTCTTTTTCCTATTGCCTCATCTGGAATTGAGTAGAATGACAGACCAGCTGGAAAAATGAGTCAGCAAGTCAAATTAAACAAGCCAATTTTAGCAAAAAACCCATGCTCTGTGCTAACATTTTCTGTGGCAGGACCCAGAATCAGCCAAAGAACTGAGCTGCATCTGTCTATATGTCTTCCTCACAGACATCTCTCCAAAGAGAACAATAGGCTATTAAATGTAAAAAAAAAAACAAACCACCAATCAAAAACCAAACCAAAACAAACCAGATTTAATTACTTTTAGTAGGGAATTTATGAGTGAGAGTACTTGGAGCAACTAGATCAGACAGACTGGGTATGAGCACCTCTCCCTTCCCCTGTCCTTTAAGCTTTCTTTCAAACAACTAACTGGATTTCTGAGTTGAAAATTGCCAAGTGCTCTTTGATCTGAAAAAGTTGTTTTCCATCACCACTGAGGCCTGATTATTTCTTCTTCCAGTTTCTCTACTGCCTCTTAGGTTCTGTGTAAACTACAGGTCCTGGAGCATTTGGCCATGACTCTTCCTCTCCACCATCCACACCAGAGGATGGACATCTGTGTTCCCAGATCCATTTCCTAGGTAAAGAGCAGCCTTGCCTCAGGGGAGATCTATTTATTCTCTTAATAAAGAAACTTAGCTTTCAGATCAGTAAAAATCCATGGAATAATCAGAAAAACACATAGGAGCTGCCACACTTTCTGATTTTCAATGGGATTGTTCAAAGTACTTCTAGAAAACTCATACCCTTAGAATGGAGAACTGGAGACAGGAACCAGATTGCACTGCCAACCCAGTCAGGTATTCTTCAAACTGTTCTGGAATATAAAAGTCCTAGTTTCTAACAGACAGAGTTCAAGTCCAGAGTTAATTCTCTGCATTTTCCTCACAGAAACTAATCTTGGGGAGAAAACACAGTCTTTCATTCAGACTGTGAGTGGCACTGGCTGCACAACAAGGCTGCAAAATCTGATTCCTTTGAGGCTTCAAAGATCAGATCAGGTAAAGCTCTGAGCAATTTGTCTTGATCTGAGTCCTTATATTGAATCAGAGGCCTGTGGAGGTCACTTGCTACCTGACTTATCCTAGGAACCCATGAAGGATGTCAAAGGAAAACATGCAGAAATCCAACTCCTAATTAGAGGAAGTGATAGACAGAAAAGAATGCTACATAAAATAGAGGAAGAAGTATTGCGCCAAAGAAAATACGATTGTCTAGTTATAGAATTTGCTATTTATTTTGTATTTCTCTCTAACAGATCACAAGCACCAAAGTGAATAAAAAAAAATTCTGATGGAAAAAGAATAATTTCTGGTGGATTCACCATCCCTGGAGGTTTTCAAGACGAGACTGGATGTGGCACTTAGTAACCATGGTAGGGTTGGACTTGATGATCTTTGAGGTCTCTTCCAACCAGGTTGATTCTATGATTCTATGACTGCTACAGATATTAGAGGACAATGGTACTTAAGAGAGTTGGGATGAAGACAAAAATGAAGAGGTACCCACGAAAATGCTGCTTGCACTACAGATCTCAGGTGCATTTGACTTCTCTTATTTCTTCACTTTGCTATTGGAATATCACTAAGAAAGATTAAATTAGATTTTTCCTTTGGGTATATCATGTTATGAGTAGTATAGAAAATTAATGGCTGGGGTGAAGTTAATTCAAAGGGGTAACTAAGCACGAAGCACTTGCTGTTCAGGCTGCTGCATAGATATGTAGGCAATATAAAATGCATCACAGAATCATTTGGATTGGAAGGAAACTTAAAGATTATCTCCTTCCAACTCCCCTGCCATGGCCCTACAAGAATGTGAGAATCTGCAATCACTCTGCAAGCAGCTCAGAGTGGATGAACATGCACATTACTTGACAGACAAATTATTTGTCTGGAATTCAGTGCTGCTGCAATGAGAGAGCTCTCAATAATCATCCCTGTGCATCTCTTCATTTCTCTGTTCAGGAGAAGATTAACTGACCTTTGGAGAGATATATG